GATACGCATTCATTGTATGCAAAAAGTCTTGCATTGTTTTCCTGTACGATTTTCTGAAGTTTTCTTGAGCGCACGAGTGCTGCATCTTCTAACCGTTTTCACACAGAATTACTAATGATGAATGGCAAGAACACACGATGTTCGTTGATTTTTTTCCTGCTTCATAGAAACGCTAATGAATAGTTCGTTTTCCGGAACGTTTTTCTGCTGTTTTGCAACGCGTCTGAGCAATGCATTTTTAAAGTGTTTATTCTGGAAAATGATGACGGTCAACGCCCTGAAAATAAGACGTTCGTCAATCATGATCATTATTTCCTGCTCTTAATCCTGCTCCATGAAAACGCCAGTAGATATCTTGTCTAATCTAGGAGATTGACCCCGATTAGGTCATTTCAGGCAAATCAGTCATTTGAGCCGTTTGGATCAGTTGAGGAAATTGAGCTTATCGGGTCACTTGCACTAATTGGGTCGAAAAGCGATTAGCCGAATGCAAAACGGCTATGAATGGCAGAATACAAGGTATTTTCCAAACGTTAACCGATCAGCAATACATGTAAATGGTAAAACGCCGAGAAATACGTTTGAACAAATTTTCTCGAGTTCACCATCGTGGAAAAATGTTGGAAAATGCATGCGTTCGACTACAAAACTGTTTTGAACATTTCGTTCACCGGGTGAAAAATGGTTGGGAACTGAAGAAACATGACATTTTCTGTACATTACTCGAACGAAAGACCCAGGAAAACATTACGTTTTCCTCTATTTATACACATTAACCTTCCCGGAAAATGCGTATTTTCAACCGTTAATTCAGGTGAATACATTGTTGTTCACTCGAGAAATGCCAATGAACAAAACGAGAACAAACTCTTTGCCATGCGTTAACCGAGCGGAAAATGAATTGTTTTCGGCGAAGAAAAAGTAACGAATAACTAAACGGATACTGGGATTTACCGATGCGAAAACACAAAGAAAACGTCCGGTTTTCCGTTAGCAAAACACAGGCAAACGTTAGTAAAATGCAGCGTTTTCCGTGAATTTAACCTTCATTTTCCATAAGGTGAACGCTGGTTTGTTTTTCCATATGTGTTATTTGTATGTAATGCTTGCTGTATGGGTTATTAAGACCCTGCTTTTTTGTTGTTGTTCTTTTTGGTTTTCTTTGTTTTTTCTCATTTTAGATCAAATTGTGCCATTAATACGGTCTTTCCTCTGGAGGTATTGGCTATTTGGTCCTCTGTTGGACGGAACAATGGCTAATTCTTTGTTTACTTCTTCCAATTTTTAATTATCCCAGACCCCCTTTTGCTTGCTATTAATAACAAAGTCTATTTTAGTACAAATTTGGCAAAGGGCGTACATTCAGTCACTTAGCGGGAACGTGAGTATTTTACTTACAGTTCAGTCAACTTCCTGTTGTTACTCAAGAGTCCAGCTGGTAACTCTGCTATCTCATTGTCCTGTAAGTACCTACAAAAAGAAGTTTACCCTGAATTTACGGTCTGTTTTAAGTTAATATTTCAGGTTCAGAATCAGTTTGTGGTTAAAGGAGTGAGTGTCGAAGGTTAACATAGAACAGAAACCCAATGGTATTTATAGGGTAGCAATTTTTTAGCTACATAATCTTCCCCAAAACTATATTGACTCTTGCTACTCGTTTCTATTCAATTTTGCTAATCGTACCGATTTTTACTCGTCTTTCTGATGTATGATACCAGAACAAGATGATGCGAAGCAATTTTCCTTAGGGCTAGGTTTTTACCCGCTCTACAGGTTTATTTCATGAAGCTTTGTGGTGTCGTCAATGTTCTTTGTGTCAAAAAGATACTAAAGGGCTGTGCTAGATCATAGAGGGGTAAAGAAGAGAGCAGGTGTCTGGGTTTTGTCTATCTGTGTACTGGGAAAGGGGAATTCCAGCAGTTAGCACTAGATCAAACACTCTCACTAGAAAGTGCTGGAGAACTTGAGCTAAAGCTATTGGAACTGTGCTCCATTTGGAAAGTAAGTGGCTTCTTTCTTTCATTCGTTGTCAAAGTGTGAGATTTTTATTAACAACTCGGGGCTATGCACTTTGTTGGTTATTCATCATCACACATTCGACTTGCTCTCATAAAATAATTGTGAACTAGCATTTGGATAATTTTGGGGCTGTCATTAAACACCCCGAAAGGTACCCCCATTATCTCTGTAAAAAATCCTCTGACGTGGCAAGAGGCTTGGGTCGAGACTCCTCAGAAATATGTATTAAATAAACGTGTGTTAAAGTAACCACAACATTCTGATTAAATAAAAATTGAGAAACTTCTTAGAATTCCAAACTGAGGGATAACAAATTGCCTTGAACGAAAACTCAAAAAAATTAAACAGATCCATAAAAACAAAACAACCAAACATGCGCGAGAAAAATTGTCCACGTCAATTGACCTGATTGACTAATTTTTAAAATCACGAATGTAACATTTGATCTAGATCTGAGAAAAGAGTACTGCAGTACGTCTACACATTATTTAAAAGGGTTTATAAAGTCCCTCGAAGTTCGGAGAAACAGTTAGTGAATCATCTTGCCGAATGGCCTATTATTTTCAATTCAGGATATACACTCATTGTATGCAAAAAGTCCAAATCGATTATTATCTCTCATGGTTGCTTATGTTAGTGGAAAAAAAACCATTAAAAAGGTGTTCCGCTGACCTGATTGAAATGATATTTCAATCAGGTCTAAACAAGCCATCAAATTTTTTACCTTATGAATGTCTTACTTACAGTTCAGTCAACTCGGAGTTGTTATTGAAGACTCCAGCTGGTAGCTTCTTGATTTGATTTCCATTTAAGTACCTAAGAAATGGACAAAACTGAACCTAAGAATGCTCTTAATGGATAATTATTATTCCTACAGTGAGTCTATGTTATTTGCCCTTTTGACCATTTTTTCTGTTTAAATTGGGCAAGATAAACTAACGAGCTCTCTGCTCAGGGAAGAGAGAAAATGTTCCTTATCCTCGAAGAGGATTGACGGTTTTGTCACAAGGCGCTTCGCCCGGTCAGACAATACCGGGCTCTACTGACCAAGGGTGGTGTGCATCATACGGTAAGCACTAGTCCGTGTGATTTGGTTTTCTGTAAGCACTGCATGGTGTTCAGGCGTCTGTCTGGTTCCTTCGTAAATGACGTGTCAAGAAAGGCGATCTTAGTGTGAGTATATGTTATTTCTCCTTTTCAAATATTCTTTGTTTAAATTGAGTTTTAGATAAACTAAACTAGGAATGGGTTTGAAATACCATTTAACTGAAAAGTGTCATGAAGTCCCCTTATGTTTCTTTTTTTAATTTCTATTGGGACTGATAACATTACCTTGGACTGGGTGATCATATGGGTTGAATAAACTTGATTGATATAACGGAAATTGTGTTCCTCCAACCCCTTTTTCTTTTTAAAGTAGTGGAATTGATAACAGGGGCAATGGGATTTCGAATACTACCAATCAAGCGTGTGATAGGATCTGTATTAGTCGCTTAAAAATGTGTCGTGAGGCAGACAATAGATGTTTTTTTTTAACTTGCAACTCTTGCAGCGTGATAGATGGACCAAATAAATCTCCATGCAGTTTCTTGATTGTATTATTAATGAAAAAAGTTTTTCAAACATTAGTTTAGCAGTCATGATGATGTTTTTGCAAATACAAATAAAGTAGGTGCTCTAAGAGGGCGGAATTGGTCACCAGTGACGGTTAAGAAATCTTATTCAAGTCAACTGTAACTAATGAAAAAAGATACTCTCCTCTGATTAACTCACACGCTCTAAAAATTATTCCACTCTCTTTTAATCACGTATTATCCCTTTCGAAGACCCCTGAGCTTAAATACTCGTAATTTAACTTTCGTTTTCGTCAATAAGTTTCTAAATGACTTATTAAACGCACTTAATTATTTATTTGAGGGAGAATGAACACAATATTCCCGTTTGACCTAAAAATAAGCCTAAGTGTTTGCCCTTTTATCATTTTTTCCCTTGAAGCTCACAGTTTCTCTCAAGCCTCGCTCTCTTAATTTTGCAGAACAGATAACGGACAAATTTTGGAGCATTTCTTCTAGGCAAACGGTGGCCGGTCTTGTTGGCATGCTTAAAAACGGCGGAGGTCTCGGTACGGGCTAAACATATAGCTCTTTCGTGTTCTCTCGTTCTCTTCTGCATAGGTCTTCTTGTTTCACTAATCTAAATTTTACCACATTCACAGTGACTCCTCTAAACTGCACTGTACTGTCTAGCTGGATTGAGAGTGCCTTCTGGTCGTACTAAATACGATCTTTAATATTGCGCGAATGCCTTGTCGTTTGCAGTTTCCCTCTAGCCTCGCTCTCCATTTTTCAGAACAGAAAATGGACAAATATCTGAGCATTT